GACGCCGTCGTCGCCCCCCCCCGTCTCCGATTCTCGCCGTTTGTTTCCCCAGTTGTATTAGCATTGGCGCCCGCGGTCCTGCCTCCCTCCCTCCTCCAGACGAGAATATTTGTCGATTATGGTGTTTTCTTGGTCTAGCGGGTGTGTTCCAATGCGTTTTCGACGGGTGCAGGTTTTTACGGCGCGTTCTCCTTGCAATATTTGGCAAAACTATATGCGCCAATCCGCCTCGGTCGGGTTCGCGCCGCATTGGTTGATATTTGAGCGGTTTTCCGGCCTGCGCAGTCAGGGCTCGCGCGTCTTTTCAGGGCCGTTTCGCGTGGGGCGCCGTGCCCCTTTCCAGGATGCATTTCACCTTCAAATTCCTGGATGTTTGTGCCGACCGAGTACGACATGTTCACGCGGTCGATGCATGGCAGTGCGTCGTGGACTTCACTAGTCAGTTGACGGGGCAGATCGCATCTTTATGTTGGATGAGCACAGCAGCAGGAAGCCAGTTGGCTTTGGGCGCTGGCGCGCGCGCCACGGCGTTGCGCGCCATGGTGGGCGCGGCGCGCGGCCGGATGCAGGTGCAGACGTACTCGGCAGGAGTGCGCGCTGAAGGTGGTTCGCGGTTGATTCCATCGGGCGGGGGAGCTCTGGGTCGCGCTGCTGTGTTACTAATGGGAACAACGGCAGCTGGAGACACACTTACCAGGTCCAATTTTATCAATGCGCTTTCTCCGCGGTAGATCGCGCGAGGCGCGAAGGGCCGGGAGTTCCGCGGCTCTGTGGAACGCGCGCTAAACAGCAGTGGCTCTCTGGCGGTGCAATCGCCAGCATCGGTTAACAATGCCGAGATGATTGGCGAAGTCGAGATCTATGATTAAGTCTGGGCAGCATTGCAGATGGAGGGCGGACGAGAGACCCCATTTGGCACGTAAAACGGAAGAGGACGATTGGGTTTCCACGCGTTCGTCCGCAGTGCCACCACCAACGGAGCATGATATCTATGGGTCTTGGTTTGTTATACCCACGCGCGCAGCCGCGTATCATTCGCGTCCAGAAGGTGGTCTACGAGAATCGTCGGTATGCGGTAAATGTGCCTGCAATAGTCGGGTGGTGGTGGGATGAGGCAGAGGCCTGCGCGTGTCCGATTGCCTGTGGTTTAGGCATGTCTCAGTCGTCCCCTTCCAGAGGACGCAAGATGTCAATCTTTCTATGTGCGTGCACTGTTTCATGATTCCGTGGCGTGCACGTTCACTGCACCAGAAGAATTTTGATCGAGACCAACACGAAGCAGTCGAGTATGGCAGCGTCAGATAAGGAACTGAGGACACATCCGGAGTTTCCTATGGAAGAAGCATTGGCGTAGCTGCTCAGATGGGTGGGCAATCGGTCTCTGCTGCGACAACCGAATAAGGACATCGGATTTGTTGACGCCTCGGTGCGCGCTCGCCTGGGAGCTGCAGAACGCCAGAAAAAGCTTCATGGCATGCCGCTTGACGGTTCATTGGTTAACGGGCGTTGAACCAGGTTGTCTATCCAAGCTCAGCGCATCGGCAAGTTCATGGGGCCAGCGACCAATGGTAGCAACAACGGCTCAATTCGAGTGTCGTAGTAGAGTCATTGGGTATTTCAGGCTTTTCTGAAAAGGACGCGTTCGAATGACTGCAGCAGGTCCTCAAATTTACCATCGCGCGGACGCGGAGGAGTCGAGCAAGCGGGAAATGCAACTCTGACGTATGCCGCAGGCCTCGCGAACATCAGCGAGGTCAGCGGCTCTTTGGAGATGCTGCACACAACGGTTGCTTTGGACCGATGCGCAAAATTCATTCACCACCAGGGCTGCTAACGCACTGAATCAGGACAACATCTACTTCGCGATTCCAGATTCAAGCTGACGTTGATGGCAAGCACGCGTGCGAATGATTATTGTGCCAGAGGAGACAAGACGACCCTCCTCGGTTTTCATCAGATACGGCAGAAGCATGTTTGCATCGACGTCGCGGTCAACACCGTACACCAGTTCATATCTACGCGGGCATGATACATCGGGTGACTGAAATTGAGAGAGATGTGTTGTGTTGGGTCAGTTGGTTTCAGGCCTCGGTTACGCCATTGGTACCGGGCGGTTTTCACCAATCATGGTGGCCATCAGCCGTTGATTGATGAGCTCATCGCGTGCTGTCGTATCATGTTGGGAACTTGGGCTTGGTATTGTCGGCGCGATTATGTATCATTGTCTCTGTGAGTGCATGTCATCGAATTGCGAGCAACATTTCCACATTTGAAGCAAATCAAACGCCCGTGCAAACGTGTGAAACTACGATCTTTGCGAGTTGGTGTATCGCAGGGTTCGCGTGCTAGTTGTTGGAAACAACGCGTACCAAACACCAGTTGACGTTGACTGCGCCGTAGAGCCTCTGGTCATGTGAGGCTAAGCGACTGCGCGTGCGCACTTGGATCAACAACGTAATCTATATGAGACTTTTGCCAGAGGCAAGCGTGGCCACTTTTGCCGAGGCGTCTGGAACGCTGAGGTTCACGACCTGTGTGGCATGCTAGGAATGCTCCTCAGTGGAATCTCTGTATTTTAGGAAATACGTGCCAGAGTCAGCTAAGAACAAGCAGGCCATCCGCCAGTGTGAGGCTTTCGCAAGTGCCAATTGTTTGCTCAGTCATCCCGAAGCATCTCGTTTCAAAGTGCCCAGCTGGTAACGCCATTTGATTTCGTTTGTCATAGATCCGAGAGCTTTTGACAACATGTGTGCCCAACACAGAGGCATAATCTATATTTGTGTATGTTGCTGGCCTGACGAAGGGCAAGTGGGACAAACAGCTTTTGCACGTTTTTGTTTCCACGCGTCAGTGTAAAGCCCTGCTGGCAGCCACCATGCAGGCAATACCATCTTAGACCAGTGTTGGTGCGAGAGACCGGTTTCGTCAGCTATCTTGCTTGCGCAGCAGATTCGCAGCATATACACGAGAGCTTCGAGCCACTTGTGCTTTATCGGTGGATCACCTCCGCGGTAAGTGTTTTATGTTGCGATATGTGTTTTGTGCGCCGCCTGAGTCCGACGAGTGTCGACGCACGCTGATGCTGTCCGCCTTTGGTACCACCAGATGTGGCAGTCTGTATGGTCAGCAGGCGTGTTCGATGGTATGAGACCTTTGCGACCAGAGCCGGCTTGATAGATCAGGTCTCAGGAAACAGGCGATCTCAGGTGCACGCGCAACACTCTGGAACCATGACGGCTAAATCTGCGCAGTTGGCAGTATGATCTGAATTTGCATTACAGATTTTATTAGATCGTAAGTATCCGATTCCTACCCATAGAACGATTACATCAAGCATTTGTTTGATCTGTTGCGCCATATTCGAGCGTTGGTGGAAAGAGATACGTCGAGGATCAGCGTTCACCATTGAGTCATATAGCCAAGAAGGGAGTTTCGTGTGCAACTCGTGTGCAACTCTAGCCCTCCCTCCCTCCGTTATGATCCTCCCTCCCTCCGCTTTGTCCTCCCTCCCCCTCCCTCCTCTCTTTATGTTCTTACAACAGCAACGGTTCCCAGTAATCTTCAGGTGGCCTCTCCATCCCCCTAAACGTGGGCTTAGGCATCCTTCAAGCTTATCGCACGCGTGGGAATTCTCTTCCAGCCCCCTCGTCCAAATTCCCCTTCTTTACTCCTACATGCATTCCCTTCCCCCCCTCCCTGCTCCTCATCCTCCTCCCTCCTCGTTTTTCTCTCGCCTCACTCCTCCAATTCTCCCCCCTCTTCCCCCCCCCTCCTCCCCCGTCTTTCTGGGATTCACCGGGGACGCTATAGCACACCCTCCCGTCCAGCACACTCTCCCATCCAGCACCCCCCCCCGTCCAGAACCATGCATCACAGAGAAGCCCCATGTTGACAATGAAAGGCTGTTCTTCCATGCGATTGTTGATCACTGAGCCTGTGGTGGTCTCAAGCGAGGGCCCCCGTTTGACGAGGAGCCCCCCTTTCATTTTTTTTTTTTTTTTTTTTCTCTTCGTTCTTTTTTTTTTTTCTTTTTTTTTTTTTTTTTTTTTTTTTTTTTTTTTTTTCCCCCTTTCATCAGCGTGACTGTTGCGCACTTCAAGTTTCGGCAAATCATATCTGACGATGTCCCGAGCGACAGCCCAACTTTGTAAAGGAGCCGCCCTTCATCCGTTTAAGTGTTGCGAGCTTTTGAGACAAGTATGCGTTGCGACAATACGAGAGACACATGTTGAAAACAGCCGGTGCTCAATACGTATAGTTGTTGCAGTCGTTAAATGCACATTTGCGCGGCGCCAAGGTCTGAACCACATTTTGAAACCGACCCGTTCTCCATCCGTGCAAATGTTTGAGTCTTTCAGCCCAGGGTCATACTTCGCAGTAAATTATACTGCGAAGCGTTTGAGCCATCCTGCTAACACGTCTGCTGCATTGCGGCAAACGAGGAGGAGGAAGATGAGGAGGAGGAGGAGGAGGAGGAGGAGGAGGAGGAGGAGGAGTTGGAGGGGATAATGGAGGAGCCCGCCCCCTATGAGCCATCCAGGAAGAGGATAATGAGAAGGAGGAGGAGGAGGAGGAGGAGGAGCAGCATGTCTAAAACTATGGAAGGGAATGGAGGGGAAGAGAATGGGGGAGGATTCTGGGGGACAATTTGAGGGAGGACAGGGGGAGGAGGAGGACTGGGAAGGACCATCAAACGAGGCGGAGGAGGGGGAGGAGTTTGGAGGAGAGGCCAATCCAAAGCATTTCATACTTAAGCTTTGGCGAGTTAGAAGCCATCAGATGGAAGGCTGCAGGAGAGGCAGGAGGGCGGCCTCCTCCTCCGAGCTTCGTTGATCTACTGCGCCTCCCTTCGCTTGCAGCCGACGAGGCCTGCCGCTGCTGCCCGAGCTGATCGACAAGATGGGCTTCGGCATGGCTCAGGTCTTCCTCCTCCTCCTCCTCCTCCTCCTCCTCCTCCTCCTCCGGACTTGACTCCCTCCTCCTCCTCCTCCTCCTCTCCCTCCCTCCTTCCTCCTCCTCCTCCCTCCTCCTCCTCCTCCTCCTTCTCCTCCTCTCCTACTCCTCCTCCTCCTCCTCCTCCTCCTCCTCCTCCTCCTCCGGACTTGGCTCGCGGAATGGGTGAGGTCATCAGACGCCCACCGGAGCCTCCCCAATTCGGGTCGCCTCCAGGCGAGCGCGTCCCCCGCTGGGGAAGCTGCTCGACGTGGGCAGCTCTCCCGTGACGCCGCCCTCGGGCCTTTGGTCTCAGAGCTTCAGGGGGGGAAGCCTTCGGTCCGACAGTTTGCTGCACCACCTCCTCCTCCTCCTCCTCCTCCTCCTCCTCCTCCTCCTCCCCCTCCTCCTCCTCTCCTCCTCTTCCTCCTCCTCCTCCTTCTCCTCGTCGTCCTCCCCAAGATCCGCGCGGGCCTCGTCGGAGGGGGCTGCTACTTTGCGGACGGCGCCGAGCTCCTCCTGATCAGCGCGGTCACGGACGCGGTGGCGAGCCAGTGGTCCATGGGGCCGGTCCAGAAGGGCTTGGTCGTCACCATCGCCGCGGCTGGTTGGCCGCACCCCCATCTCGTGTGAGCGTCGCGACAAGAGAACGTACGAGGCGTTGTCGAGAGAGGAAGGGGGGCGGGGGCAGGGGGAGGGGAAGGAGGGAGGAGGATGCCTCCTTCCCCTCTCGCCCCTCGCCCTATTCATCTTCCTGTTGGGGAGCGGCCAGTCACGCTCGAAACAAGTCCCTGGGACCCTGACGTTTTGTGGCGTTTCGTTTTGCTCGGTTGGCGACATTTGACCTCAAGGTCCCCAGGTGCCAGAGGGGCCAGGGAGCAATCGAGCATGGCCTCCAGGGGCCAAGCAGGCAATGACGCGCCAGCTGGGTGGCAGTTTTTATCCTCCTGGGCCGTCCACGCATCGAAGAAGATCACCGTCCTTGCGTGGGCGAAATCGTTGCACTGTAAAGACGGAAGACGGGATGGAACACAATATGAACGAGCGCGTGCTGTCGACGCAGGGCAGAGGGTGGGGGGGGGGAACCCCCCCTCAATTACAAGGGGCGTGGCTCGAGCTGGGAGGAGAGGGGGGGGCCCTCCCCTCGAGGAGCGGGGGTGGGGGAAGGAGGGGGTCGTACCGGCCCCAAACTCCCTCTCTCAGGGGGCGAAGGGGGGTCCGCACGGTCCCCTCCTTCCACCCCCCCCATCCTGCATTGCAAGTGGAGGGGTGAAGGGGGCTCCGAACGGTCCCCTCCCTCCTTCACCCCCCCTCCTGCACGTTGCAGGTGGAGGGGTGGACACGGGCCTCCTCCACCCTTCGCCAGTGGCAAACGGCGACGGCGAGGGCCGGCGCCCGCGCCCGCGCTGGCGCCGTCGGGCAGCGACCACGACGACGACAACGGCGCCGAAGCCGATGCCGACGCCGACGACGACGACGACGACGACGACGACGACGACGACGACGACGACGACGACGACGACGAAGTCGACGACGACGACGACAACGCAGACGACGACGAGGAGGAGGAGCACGACGACGACCACGACGACCACGACGACGACGACGACGACTCCCACGGCAACAACGGCGACGACCCAGCATCCTCGCGGGCAGCCTGGAAATGCGCGTAGGATGTGTCGAATGTTTTTAGAAATGGCTAGCCCTTTAGAAGGGAAGGATTTTATGAGAGATGGGTAGTGCCCTGAGTAGCGAGATTATCTTGTCTCAGACTTGCTTAGACTTGGACCCACCTCTAGCAGGAGCTCATGAGAAGAATCATGCTATCAATCTGGACCAAGCCCTCGTAGGATTCTATTCGGGCTGGGTGGAACCCTAGTCGGACTCTGTTAGAGTTGTGTCGAACGTTGGAGGGACTCTGTTCGAGTTGGATGGAACCTCAGTAGGGTTATTGTAGACGTGGGTCAGACCCTAGTAGGATGCTAGTGCAGCTGGGTCGAGCCCTCTCTCGTAATATTCTATTCGGTGTTGATAGGGCCTTAGTAGGATGTTATTGCAGCTGGATCAAGCCCTGGCCAGATTGCTATTAAAGTTGGATCCAGCTTTGATCGGATTCTACTAGAGCTGGATCTTGCCTTACTAGGATTCTTCTAAGAGTTTGATCCAACTCCAGAAGGGTTCAATGGGAGTTTGATCCAGTCCTGATCGGATTTTATGGGAGCTGGGTAGAGCCTAATCGGGATTGAATTCGAGTCGGATTTTGCTCGAGCTGGGTCAAACCATGGTCGCATTCCTTTAGAGCTGGATCGAACCGTTATCGGGTTTCTATCAGAGCTGGATCGAGGCCTAAGAGGGTTCATTCGAGCTGGATCCAACCCAGTAGGATCCAATTTCAGCAGGACCCAGCCCCAGTATGATGTCATCAGAGTTGGGTCGATCCCTGTAGGATGTCGTTGGAGCTGGATCGATCCCTAGTAGGATCCAATAAGAGCACCATCGAGCCCCACTAGGACTCGATTAGAACCGGTTCGAGCCGCAGTCGGACTTTATCAGCGCAGGATCGAGCCCTCATAGGAGTCCACTGCTGGATCGAACCCTAACAGGATCCCATTAGACTTGGATCCAGTCGTGATCGGACTTTTTTATTAGGGCTGAGTCGAGGTGTCTTCGTCGTCACTGTCGTTGTCGTTGTCGTCGCCGCCGCCGCTGAAGTTGTCGCCGTCGTCGACGTGTTCGGCGTCGTCGCCGTCCTTTGCCGGCGGCGCGCAGGGGGATATGGCCCGCCCCCCCCCAGTTCGAGCCCCCCCCCCACTTGGACAAGGGACAGGGGGGGGGGTCGACCCCCCTTCCTGTTCGAAGGGGGAGGGAGGCGGTTAGAGAGACTGCCCCCCCCGCTCTCAGGTTTCCTGGGCGCGCCAAATGTTCAGGACCCCCCCTCCTGGCTCCGACGCGTCGAGGATTTTTTTCCCAGCAAGCGTCCACGAAACTCGTGTCCTCGAGCACGTCCATCTCCCACGGGCACTCGAACCAGCCTTGGCCTGGTCTGGCCCGAGGGAACAGTAATATTACGCGCGCGCTGGAGGACCCCTGCTGCTGCAACAGAGGTGGGCGGAAGTCGAAACATACCATTGCACGCCGTCCGTCGGAAGCTCTTATCTCTGAGCGCGCAGATGCCAGTAGACTCTGACTGCCGTTGAGATTCACTGGACGAAGGGGCCTCCAATGTTTGAGCCTGCTCCATCCGAGCGGCCTCTGCGCGAAGAGGGATGCAGGAACAGGGCGGATGGCACACGGTCACAATGCGTGCTCGTGATCATGGCGATCTGGGGATCGAGCGCCGCTCCTTGGCATCGCTCGGACGTGCGCATTTTTTCTCGACGAGGACCATCGAAGAACATCCTGGATCATCGAGCAAGAAAGACACGCGCAACACCGAAAAATCGCACAGGGAATGGACGTCCGAGCGACGGCAAGGCTCCCGGGTTTCCCCCCACCCGCCACTGCCCCCCTTGCAGCTGCCAGTGGCGAAGTCTCCTGCCTGTGGGACTCAGTGGGCACAAGGGTCCGACGAAGGCATCTGAACACAACCACCGTGCCAGGCCAGGGCCATCCTGGGCCGTAGGATGGTGTATAGACCCTCCTGGCCGGGTGGTACTTGGGGCCCCTCCAACCAGCCGCGGCACCATCGTGTTCATCGGCATCTTGGTTGGCAACTTTGCCAGTGGCCCCATCGGGGACGCCCATGGGCGAAGGCAGCTCATCTTCTCGTCGTTCCTCGGCATCTTCGTCTTCAGCATGGCGAGCTCCGTCACCGTCGGACTCCGGCGGCGCGCCAGAGAGGGTGGTGGTGAGGGGGGCGACCTCCTGCGAAGGCACGCCGCCCCTCAGAAGCCCACCTGCCTCCCGGGAAGCCCTCTTGGGGAGCCTCCTAGAGCCCTGCTCCAGCCCTTCCCAGAAGCAGCGCGGCTGACCTGTCCCGAGGCTCGTTCTGCCCAGGTCTCCGTGGCGAGTCCAGCCGTGGCGGCGGGGGGGCCGCCCGGACCCCCAGAGGGTACACATACAGTCCGGGCCCTGAAGAAGGAACCCTTTTCGTTGGGGAGGGGCTCCGCGTTCCTGAAGTGTTTCACGGCTTGCCTCAGGCTTTCCTTATGTTTTCGACCGGAAGTCGAAGGTTAACTTATGGAAAAAAAGGGGCCTCGTTCCTTATTTAGGGTTCCTTAGGTCAACGCCCAGACTGTATGAGATCCCTGGTGCTGTTGCTCCGGCCCTCCCTGCCCGCGCGGGGGAGGGCCGACGCCAGGGGCCACGGGCGCTGGCCGGGTGCCTGCGGACCCACGGGGGGCCTTTCCTCCCGTTCGCTGGGTGCGAGGGGGCTTGACGCCATGCTCTGCATTCCCTGCACTCCCTCCTCCGTCGGGGCCTCCCGAGAGGTACCCCGAGGTACCCTGAGCTCCACGGAGCTCTGCAAGGTCCCTGGAGGCGTACGGAGGCCCAGGGATGGCCGAACAGAAAGAGAGAGAGAGAGAGAGATAGAGTGAGAGAGAGCGAGAGAGCGTGAGAGAGAGAGAGTGAGAGAAAGAGAGAAGGAGAGAGGGAGAGGGAGAGGGGGAGAAATCTATATATATATATAGAGAGAGAGAGAGAGAGACACCAGCTGTTCTCCCCCCCCTCCTCCTCCCTCTTCTTGCCCCCCCCTTGGCGCGCGGGGGGAGCGCGCGCGTGGTGTCCGGGGAAGCACTATGAGAAAGGGGGAGGAGTGGGAGGAGGGTGCAGATCAGAGGGGGAGGAGGCGGGGGAGGAGGAGGAGGAGGAGGAGGAGGAGGAGGAGGAGGAGGAGCAGGAGGAGGAGGGAGGAGGAGAGGAGGAGGAGGAGGGGAGGAGAAAAAGAGGAGAAAAGGAGGAAGAGGAGGAGGAGAAGGAAGAGGCAGACAGGAGGGGGGCGGAGGAGGAGGGCGAGGAAGAGGAGAGGAGGAGGAGAAAAAGGTGAGGAGATGATGATGAGGAGGAGAGGAGGAGGAGCAGGAGGAGGAGGAGGAGGTGGAGGGAGGAGGAGGAGGTGGGAGGAAAAGAAGGAGGAGGGAGGAGGAGGAGGAGGAGGAGGAGGAGGAGGAAGGAGGAGGAGGAGGAGGAGGAGGAGGAGGGGGAGGGGGGGGGCAGATCGGAGGAGGTGGAGGAGGAGGGTCCTCGAAGATGCTCGAGGGCTTCTCGCGGATCCTCGAGGTTCCCTTTCGCCGCGCGCCGCCTGAGGATTCTGGAGCCTTAGCGCCGCCCGCTTCTGCGTCGGCGTCTCCTTCGGCATCGGCCAGCCGGCGTGGAACACGCTGGGCGCAGAGGTCACACCAGCGGACTATAGGACCCCGCCGGTGGCCAACACGTTTTTTTAACGGTACGGCTGGTGAGGCCGTTTGGCCAGGGCCAGACGGGGCTAGGACGAGGAGAAATCCGTTCCAGAGCGTTTCGGAGTGCCCTCAGAGCGTCCCAGAACGCTCTGAAGGAGGTCGCGACGCCCGATACATCCTCCAGAGCCGCCAGATTTCGTAGATCCTCGATTTTTCCGATTGCGGCCACCGAGTGCCGCTTCTGGTGCCCAGGAGCACCAAAGATGGTCCTTGGACGACACTGTCCCTGGGGAGGCCGCTGCAGGCCTCCGTGAGGCTTCTCGCCGCCGCTGCTGCATGCCCTTTGAGAGTCTGCTCAGGGGGCGCCCCACGACACGTCTGGAGATCGACTTTGGGGGAGGCGAGCTGGACCTCTGGCGCCTTTCGGCGTCGAGCGAGGGGGGGACTTGAGAAGGAGAAGGGCCTCCTCAGAAGGCGGCGGGACTTCTCAGAAGCCCTCGCGCCTACTGAGAAGTTTTCTGTGCCGGAGTTTTACCAAGGGGCAGCCGAGGGGTGGCCTCCGCAGCGCAGTCAGACGGCCCCCATCCTCGCCACGGGTGGCGAGCGTCTCGCCGTTGGCACCGACCCGCGTGCCTCCACGACGCGAACATACAGAGGCCCCCACGCGCAGAATGAGCGACTCGACATGCGGCGCCACTACGTTCAAGGCACTTTCCGGCCTGGGAGATTTCCAGTCGGGGAGTATCTCGAGATCCCCGACTTTGGTGACGAGGAGGAGGACGGAGGAGGATGTGCGGAGGAGGATGTGCGGAGGAGGAGGAGGAGGAAAGGAAGAGGAGCCGATGAGGAGGCCGAATCTCGCAATCCGTAGCTGCCCTGAGGATCATGATGTCGGCCATCTCGCAAGGCTTCTTCATCTTGGGGGAGCTCTACAGCGCGACGCTGCTGATGGTTGACGACCCGCAGATGAAGGACCTGCACTGGCGGTGGCTGCTGCGCATGGGCGCCATCCCATCGGCAATCTTCGGAATCGCCTGCCTGCTCTTCATGCACCAGTCCCCCTCGTACCTTGCCGTCTCTGGGCAGTACGAGAAGGCGAAAGAGGTCTTGCAGTCGATGCGCAACGACAACGGGCACCCGGCCGACATGTCGGTCGACTTCGCCCTCGTCACCAGGAAGAGCCAGCTGAAGCGCATGGCCAAAAGACTGCGGGCGGCCCGGCGCCTCACCGTACTGTCTAAGAACGACCTCCTCAAGCAGGTGCGCGTGGTGTTCGGCCCAAACCTGTGGCCGTCCACCCTCATCGTGATGTACTCGTGCTTTGTGCTCAACTTCCTGTACTACGGCTGCCTCTACGCCCTGCCGCAGGTGCTCGCGAGCAGCGCCGAGCCGGGCTCGAACGCCGCGCTGGAGCTCCTCACCGGCGCACTCGCGGAGATCCCCGGGCAGGTGCTGGGCATCCTCTGCGGCTCGTACCTCACCCGAAAACTCAACATGAAGGTGTACCTCGGCCTTACGTCGCTGTCGCTCGTGTCCTTCGCGTTTAGCCTCATCCACCCTGGAGGGGCCGCGAAGGTTTTCCAGCTGGCCGGCATCTACGGCATTAAGTGCTTCGTGGCGATCGGCTTCGTGGTCGTTTACCAGTACTCTATCGAGATCTACCCGACGGAGGCAAGGACAACGGGTACTGCAATCAACATGGGAAGCGGCCGCGTCGCGGGCATCATCTCTCCCCTGATTTTCGAAGGCGTAGTGAGTGTGACTGGCGGCTTCTCTGTTTTCTTTTATCTCCTGATCGGGTGCGCCACGCTCAATTTTCTCCTCATCCCGCTGCTGAAGTACGAGACCTTCGGGATGGCGCTGATGGACGACGTTGACGACGAGGACGAAGAGGAGGCTGGCAAGGCCGAGAAGGCCAAGGAGGAAGAGGACGAGGTGGCACCGCTGCTCGATTCGAAAACCACGAGGTACCGCGCCAGGACCGTCTTCTTCGCGGAACCGCTCATGCCACGGTTCTGAGCACGATTGCCGCGCTCTCTGCCCTGAAGTATCAGTATCTGGCTGCCGGGCTCGCGCGCACGCAAGAGCAGTCAGAACCCAGGTACAGCTGTCTTTTGCAAACTGCACCTGAGGTCCTTTTGGGATCGTCCTTCCTCCTCCTCCTCCTCGCCTCTCCGTTCTCAGAAGCCCTCGCGTGCTTGCCTGGTTCTCCTGGTCGAGGTGCGGCCTGGGTTGCTTTGATTTGCAGGGGTGCTCTGTGGTGGGCGCCGCGGGAACTCGTGCGCCCTCGTGAGTGTACGACCCCCGGGTAATAGCGCGTCTCTTGGGGGCAGGGTGGGCGACAGCGCTGGCTACAGAGGGCACATCAGACTTGTGATGTTCCAACCTACTTTCGCCTGGATCGCCAGAACTAATTGCGAGCACCGAGAAAGTACCAGCACTTGAGGGCTTTCCCGTGCCGGGCCCTGGGAGGCGACACTCCTTCGACACTGTTTCGACACGTTTCTGGGTGCTCGAACTTGTTTCATCGCTTCGCTCATTCCGCCGGCCCTGGAGCCCTCTTTAGGGCCTCTTGAGGGCCTCTTGGGGACTCTTGGGAGTGTCTTGGGGCTCTTTGGCGGCGTCTTGGGGGCCCCCAGGGCCTCTTGGGGGGCTCTTGGGGGCCTCTTGGGGCAGGAAGGGGGGTAGTCGATTGCGGCTCCCCCCTCGGAGGCCACGATCCTCGTGAGGGGTGTCGAAAATGGCCCTCCCTTGGAGCGCTCTGGGGACCTGACCGGGACCTGACCGGGACCTGGCCGGGGTACTTTTCGTCCGGGCGCCCCCAGGGGCCGCTCCGCGCGCGCGAGCTAGAAACGTTGTGAACCAGTTACCAGGGATCTTGGCACGCCTCTGGCCCGTTGGGCCGGGGAATTTCTGGGCTGTGCTCCCTAAAGCACGATGGGAGCAACATCATGCCAGCGTGTCTCTTGGGGGCACGAACGGTTTTACCGCCTGTGGTGTTCGCCCCGCAGTCATGAGTGTGAGCGTAGCGTAGTTATCAGTTGTTGCGTGCTAGCAGCGTGCTGTGTAGCATATCAGTACTCGGGCAGCTTTCCGTCCCGTTTCAGTTTCAGTTTCAGTCTCTTGGGGGGCAGGGTGAGCGACAGCGCCGGCGACAGAGGGAGCAAGGAGTCGTCGATCCCCATGGGGAAAGACGGGAGAGATCATGGAAAGTGGGGGGGAAGACGAGCGAAGCTCCATCAAACATGGGAAGCACGTGGGGACTCTTGGGGTTGGTGTGTGTATGTAGTTGTGTGTCCCTGGGCTCCTTCGAGACCGACGGAGAATGTGCGCCAATCGTTCGTGTAGCAATCTGTTCTCTCTCTCTGGAGAGTCTGGGCTCTTCTGGGGCGGCACCGTGGCTGGAGAGGGGGCGGCAGCGGGAGCCCCCTTCTTTGGGTCCGTCGGGGAGAGGGGGGCGGGCGGATCTCGCGGAGTGCAGGGACCACGCTTCTCTTTGGAGCGTGCAGCGCTGCGGTTGCGACTCGCGCCGTGCAATCGCAGGCCTCGAGGTTAAGGGAGGATGACGCTTAATAGATGACCGGGGGTCGTGTTCACGCGGCGGCGCCCGGAATGACGACTAGAAAACACCGGCCGCGGGCTGGAAAACGATTTCTTATCGCTCTCCTCCAGTCAGAAAGCTGTGCAGAAATAGCAGGAAACTATTTTTTTAATCGTTCCCCTCCCATTTTTTAAATAATCGTCATCCCGCATTAGCACCAATACCAAAATCGGCGGCGTGCCTCCGCCGAGGAAGGGTGCTCCCGATCGCGGTGATGGTGGTAATGTTTTGGCTTCCCAGGCGGCCGAAGTATTGCCACCAAAACCGAATTCTGAGATCATCTTCCCCTGGTTCAGGCATGCCCACGTGTTGGTGTTGGTGCCCATTTCCAGGCTTCAAATGTAAAGCAGGACTTTTATATCCTGGCCAGCGAGTTCGACCGTCGTGAAACGGCCCTCCCAACTGCCTGATCACAGCACTGCTTTCTTTCACCACCCACCAAACCACCCCAACCCAACCCGAAGGCCTCAATTTGCCCTCCATTTCCAGTGGGGGGGCGTCGGGGAACGTTGAAAAAACACATGGAACCCGTACCCCCCCCAACCCGAAATTCGGGTCATATTCGGGTCTTCGGGTTGGGTTGGGGTGGTCTGGTAGGTAGTCATTCTTATCGCGCGTGAGCGACGCCAAAAAAGCGGGGTCGTCTTCGCCGGCACTGGCGCCTAAAGCTGCCCGCGGGAGCTCGCGCGCGAGCGCCCTCGCCTCCGGCGGCGGCGTGCCGCGCTGGCGGTCGCCGCGTAAACTGCGACAGGAGGTCGCTGCGTCACTTCGCGTGAGACCCGTGTTTGATCGTCGCTCATGTGTTTTCAGAGCCCCGAATCATCAGGGGTAACTCGGGTCAGGGTTAACTCGGGTTCGTTTTTCGGGGATCCGAACCCGAGTTACCCCGGACCCGAGTTACCCCGGATAATTCGGGCGTCCAGAGCCCCACATCATCAGGGGTAACTCGGGTCAGGGCTAACTCGGGTTCCTTCTTCGGGAATCCAAACCCGAGTTACCCCGGACCCGAGTTACCCCGGATAACTCGGGCGCCCAGTGTTTGCCTCAGGTTTTCCTTATGTTTTCGATAGGCGATCGAAGTTTCACCCATGGAAATACAGGGGCCTCGTTCCTGATTTGGGGTTCCTTAGGTCAACGCCCCGACTGTACTTCGCGTGAGACCCATTTTTTGATCGTCGCTCGCGTGTTTACTGCATCAGGAGGAGATCTCTCGTGGGCCGTTTTCGCTTCGGTTTTTCGCTCTGCGGCGAGGGCGGATTCTGAGGACAGCACGAGGGGAAGACGAAAAACATAACGAGCACGAAACGCACTGTGCAGGGCGATCCCTGCGCTGCACCGCCTCCCCCCGCCGATGACGCGGGCGCCTCTCGCCGCGCCAGGGGAGGCCGCCGCAGAGCCGCGGGGCCGAGCGCGACGGGCAAGGCCCCCCCCTGGCGCGGCGCGGCTCGCCCGGGGAGTCGCGGGGCACGTCGCCAGCCTCGAGCATACAGTCGGGGCCCTGAAGAAGGAACCCTTCTCGTAGGGGAGGGGCTCGGTGTTCCTTGATTGTTTTGCAGTTTGCCTTTTGTTTCCCTGAGGTCTTCCTGGGGAAATCGAAGTTTAACTTAGGGAAACAAGGGGCCTCGTTCCTTATTTAGGGTTCCTTAGGTCAACGCTTCGACTGTGTCCCTGCATCCCCGAGATCGACACGCCGAGAGGCGATGGCAATCGTGGGGATGCACCCTCAGAGACTGGAGGAGCCCCCAAGCTCGCCATCGTGACGAGGCGACGCCCAACGTATGGGGCAGGGACATGTTCCGGGCTGGTAGGCATGTTCCCGCCGCAGCGCCGCGTTCGGAGGCTGCCCCGGGAGGAGTCACCACCCACCGAACCACCCCAACCCAGCCCGAAGGCCTCAATTTGCCCTCCAGTTCCAGTGTGTGTGGGGGGGGGGGGTCGGGGAACACTGAACAAAACAGATGGAGCCTGTACCCCCCCAAACCGAAATTCGGGTCAATTTCGGGTCTTCGGGTTGGGTTGGGGTGGTCTGGGAAATAGACGAGGTCAGGAGCCAGAGGTAGGGCAGGAAAGGGCTGAGGGATAGGAGGAAGGAGAGGCAGAGGCAGAAAAGAGAAGATTAGAAGAAGGGAGGAGGAAAGAGAAGCAATACAGGATGCACATTTCCCACAGGTGCACCGTCATGAAGTTGCTGTGTACATCAGTCAAGTATGCACACGCAGTGCCGCCTTCGGAGGCTGCCCCGCGGTATGTGGGCGCTGTCGCAACACCCAAGGAGGCACTCTTGCGGAGGAGGGCCCGTTGAGACCGCGGCAGTGGGCCTTCGGGCGGGGGCACTCTGGCGCTACGGCTGGACACGGCGCTGCGTTATTGGACTCCCTGCGGCGTCCGTCCGGGGACCGGATGTTGAGATGCCGTTGTCTCAATTGGCCCTGCTCCGGTATCTCGGCTGCGGAGCTGACGACACGGGGACGTCTCAGCTCCTGGCCATGTGCACGGGCGCTGCGTGCACCCACCGTCGTGAGCGGCAGGCACCCTTGCGCCATGGGAAGGCCCCGAGCAGCCTTCACGCAGGGGCCACGACGTGGTGGCCACGAGGGGGGGGCCACGACAGGCCACATCTGCCGGGGACCCAGCGTCCCCCGTGTGCTCCGCGTGCAGCGTGCGTCCAGTCGTGCGCGCTTCCCGCCTCCCAGCAGCGCCGTCGGCAAAGCCCAGACATGCTGATACGCGCAGGCACCGGACCATCTTACAGTATGCGCGCTGTGGCTGTGGCTGCCCTTGTGTAGCCACACCCATACCTCTTGGGACTGATTCTTTTCTGGCACTTGTATAGCCATACCCCTTGTATAGCCATACCCCTTGTATAGCCATACCTCTTGCATACACCTCCATACCCATACTCCTTGTATAGCCATACCCATACCTCTTGTACTCATGGGATCTTGCCCGTTTTCTGAGGACCTGGGCCTGTCTGGCGGTCTGGCGGCTATGTTGTCGCCGTCGCCGCCCCGTCGCGGCTAGTCGCCGCCCGCCGTCTGGGTCTGTCTAGCGGTCTGGTGGCTACGTGTTCCCCGTCGCCGCTCCGTCGCCGCCTCGTCGCCGCCCGTCGTCTGGGCCTGGCTGGCGGTCTGGCGGCTATGTTGTCGCCTCGTCGCCAGGCCCAAGCAGCGCTTGCACTCAGGGTGTCTTACTGGGTTTTCAAGGAGCTGAGCTCTTGTGGCGCCTTGGCTGGCTTGTCGCCTCCCCGTCGCCGCTCGTCGTCCCCCGTCGCCGCTTCGCTCGTGTGCTGCACCGGGCGGCTTTCACCGCCCCGTCGACACCCCGTCGCCGCTCGTCGCCGCCCGTCGCCGCCTCGTCACGGGCGTGACAGAGGTTTTCCTTTCTAAACAGCGAAACACACTACCCCCCCGGCGTTATCCGCCCCCCTTTCGGTTCATTACGTAAATCATTGATGTATGATTCTGACCACATGTCCATCCTAAATATGAATTTACACTATCCCAGGGCTCTCTGATTAAAAAACAATACGCGGGGACATTTTCTGTTCTAGCATAAGACTTGTTCACGAATCCACGCGCGCGTCGTCGCGCGCGCATGCCGAAGTCCTTCAAAAACCTTCGGTGTCGGAAGGATGTCGCAATCGGGTTTCCAACAAACATACAAAAACACATGGTTTCGCAACACTGATGTGCTAAAAAAGCTTACGCGCGAGCTCTTGCGAAATCTCACGAAAACCATAGGTTTTTCAAGATGTTCACAAGATGCTACCAAACGGGCTTCGCGCGCGCATGTCGAAATCTGTCGAACGCCCTTGCGCGTGTGCCGTCACGATAATCCTTCGCAAAAAACGGGACGAAGTGCAGACGCGCGCGTCGTCGCACATGTTTGCCGAAATCCTTCAAAACCCATCGGCTTCGGAAGGATTTCAACATCGTGTGTCCAAAAAACCACAAAATCACAAGGTTTCGCAACACGGATTTTCAACAAAAGCGTGCGCGCGCGCTCTTGCGTCGTCGTCGTCGTCGTCGTCGCCGTCCTCCCTCCTCCCGCATCGTCGTCGTCGTCGCCTACGTCGTCCCTCCTATTTCGTCGCCGTCGTCGTCGTCGTCTCGTCGTGGCGTCGAACCCGCACTTCGCGGCCGTCGTCCGTCATCACCTCCTCCCTCGTCTGCGTCGGCGTCGGCGTCGTCGTCGTCTTCGTCGTCGTCGTCGGCGTCGGCGTCGTCGTCGTCCTTTCGTCGTCGTTCGTCGACGTCGGCGTCGTCGTCGTCGCCGCCGTCGTCGTCGTCGTCGTCGTCCCTCCGCCGTCGTCGGCTTCGTTGGCGTCGTCAGTCGTTCGTCGTGGTCGTTTCGTCGTCGTCGGCGTCGTCAATCGTCGTCCGTCGTTGTCATCGTCGGCGTCGTCCCGTCGGCGTCGGCGTCGTCGTCGTCGTCGTCCGGTGTCGCCGTCGTCGTCGTCGTCTCCGTCGTCGTTGTCGCGTCGTCGAAGTCGTTGGAGACTGTCGTCGGTGTCCGTCGTCGGCGTTGTCATCGTCGTCGTCGTCGGCGTCGGTGTCGTCGTCGTCGTCGTCGTCGTGTCGTCGTCGTCGTCGTTGTCGGCGTCGTCGAAGTCGTTGGAGACGTCGTCGGTGTCGTCGTAGTCGTTGTCGGCGGCGTCGTCGTCGTCGTTGTCGCTGTCGTCGTCGGCGTCGCTGTCGTTGCCAAGTGCCATTTGGTACCCACCGTCACGGTCAAAAGAGATTTTGCAAACCAAGTTGCGGGTGGGTGGGTGAGTGGGATGTTTGCGCGAGCAGTGGAGTGGACAACTCACTGCGAACAGAAATCAATTGCACCACATAGCTTTCACCACATGAATTGCTTCACCACGTGGATTGCTCCACACAGCCGTCACCACATACATTGCACTACTTACATTACTCCACATGGTTTACACCGTCGATCGCACCACTTCTGCACCACATAGATTGCACAACACATGTTGCACCGCAGACATTGCACCACACAATTTGCACCACATCTAGAGCACCGCATCGTCAGCACCACGCAGATTTCTTAACATAGGCTGTGCCACATATGTTGCATCTTGTAGCATAGCCTACACCACCTATATGTGATATGTACATCTGTTGTACCACATGAATTGCACCACGTATCATGCACTACATGTACTGCTCAACAATATTTTACAGTACACGCATTGCTTAACATAGATGGCGCCACACACACTTCGCCACATATATTTCACCATACCTATTGTACACATGTGTTGCTTAACATAGCTTGTACCACACATTATGCACAGCATCTGTTCCACCATGTAGCTCTCACCATGTATTCACCCCCCCCGCGCGCCGCTGTCGCGTCGTCCCTCGGCGTCGTTTCTCCCTCCCCTGCCACAGGGCCCCCGTCAAGGCTGGTGAACAAAAGTGCCTCTCCGTGCCCCATGCCGGTGAGCAGTCGGCGTCCGCCCAGCCTAGGGGGCCACATGCGAACCCCACCCCTGCCTGCCCCACGATTTCTGAGGGGGAGGGTGGGGTTCACTTCGCTCGGGAGCTCCCCAACGAAGTGAACCCCACCCTGCCCCTCAGAAATCGTGGGGGGTAGGGGTGGGGTTCGCATGTGGCCCCCCTACGTTCGCCCCGCCGCCGAGGAGCTCGTCCTCATGTCCCGGGAGTGCGGGGGCACCGTCGGCAGGTGCCACGCGAAGCCAGGCGGCCCCGCCGCGCGCGCCCGAGGATGCGCGGCCCCGCGGGGGGCAGGCGCGAGGAGGAGGCTGCGGGCCCGGCAGCGGAGGAGGAGGAGGAGGGGAGGAGAGGAGGAGGAGGAGGAGGAGGAGGAGGAGGAGGAGGTTCGCCCCTTTGGGTCCCTCCTTCCCTCCCCCTCCTGCTCCTTCTCTTGCTCCCTCCTGTTCCTCCTGCTCCCTCTTCGTCGCCACCTCCCCCTCCTCCTCCTCCTCCTCCTCCTCCTCGCCCTCCTCCTCCTCCTCCTCCTCCTTCTCCTCCTCCTCCTCCTCCTCCTCCTCCTTTTCCTGGTCCTCATCCTTCTCGTCGCGCCCCTCCGCGCCCGCCTCCCTCCTGCCGGGGCAGTTCTGAGAGATCCGCGGCTGACTCACCCAGATCCTGGGTGGGAGCCGGAACCCTCCTATGCTGGTCTCGTCGTCATCCCTCCCGCTCCCCTTCCTCCTCCCCTCCCCTCTCACTCTCTCTCCTTCCCCCTCCCCCTCCACTGTTCCCTTCCTTTTTTTTTCCTCTCGATCTCCTCCTCCTCCCTCCTCCTCCTCCCTCCTCCTCCTCCTCCGCCTCCTCCTCCTCCTCCTCCTCCTCCTCCTCTCTACGCTGGGCTCCTCCTCCTCGTCCTCCTCCTCCTCCTCCTCCTCCCTTCGCCTCCTCCGGCCCAGCCCTCCCGGCCGTTTCGGCCCCCTTCCCCTGCCACCCCCTCCCTCTCTCGCACTCTTGCTCCGCGCTGCGGGAGCCTCGAGGCCTCGGCTTCACCGCGTGTGCTCCGCGCGTGGCACGGCGCGGTGGCGCGCGCCGCCTCTCCCCTCGGACGTTTTATCCCAGGTCGCTCTGGGCACTTGCGCCCTGGCCCCTCGCCCTCTGTGCAGCAGGCGGCCGGCCGAGAGCTGCGAGTGCCATCGCGCGTGCAGGGTCCCGCTCGGCACCCAGCCCCGGCGAACGGAGCCCGACGAAGAATATTGGGAGGGAATGGAGGGGGAGGGGAGGAGCACGACGTCCGCTGTGGCCGACCGTGCCGAGCTCGCCTCTCTCCTCTGCCCTCCATCCCCCGCCCCCTACCCCCTGCCACCTGGCCTCTGTGGTCTGGCCTCTCTCCTCCAGTCTCTGCCCTCCGTCCCCTGTTTCTGTTCTGGGTCCTCGGTCGGTCCGCTCTGCCGCGCTCACCTGTCCGTCGGTTTTTCCCCTCTGCCAGGGAGAGGGAGCGGCAGGGGAAGGAGGGAGGAAGGAGGGGGGGTGAGAGGGGGGAAGTGGGGGAGAGGGGGGGGGACTGGGGGAGAGGGGGAGAGGGCGGGGCGGGGCGGGGTGGAGTAAGGGGAGAGGAGGGGGAAGAGGGCGGGGAGGGGTGGGGCAGGGGGAGGAGTGGGGGAGTGGGGGAGTTGGGGAGAGGAGGGCCGGGAGGAATGGGGAGGGCATCTTACGTAGGGGTCGTGTTGGGCTCTAGGTGGCCTCATAAGGTTCTACAGGGGACTGGGGCATTCTAGGAGGACTCTCTCTCTCACACCCTCTCCTCTCCTCCCCTCCCTCCCCTCCCCCCCCTTTTCCCCAATGGGGACGAGGGGAGGGGAAGGAGGGGAAGAGGCGGAGGAGGAGGAGGAGGAGGAAGAGGAAGAGAAAGATGCTGATGCTGCTGATGATGATGATGATGATGATGCTGATGATGATAGTGGTGATGATGATGATGATGATGATGATGATGATGATGATGATGATGAGGATGAGGATGAGGATGAGGATGAGGATGATGCTGCTGATGATGATGCTGCTGATGATGCTGCTGATGATGCTGATAATGGTGATGATGATGGTGATGATAGTGATGCTGATGATGACGATGATGATGATGATGATGACGATGACGATGATGACGATGATGATGATGATGCTGATGATGCTGCTGATGATGATGATGATGATGATGAGATGCTGATGCTGATGCTGATGCTGATGCTGATGCTGATGCTGATGCTGATGCTTCTGCTGCTGCTGCTGCTGATGATGATGATGATCATGATGATGATGATGATGATGGTGATGATGATGATGATGATGATGGTGGTACTGATATTGATGATGCTGCTGCTGATGCTGATGATGATGATGAGGAGGAGGAGGAGGAGGAGGAGGACCAGTGTAAACCCACTACGCATCAACGATGTTGCAATCAACCCTTCCTCAAGGTAATTGTAGTCTTTGTGTGTAAAAGCAATGCTCCAAGTTCCATCTTCATAGGTCCCTATAATCATGTTTCGAAGACGCCTACGGCGAATCACCGCCGCCCCCTGCCTTTTTGGAAGCGCCTGCGTGGCCGAAAGTTGGGTTTGAGCTTGGCCAAGCTATCGGGCCACGCGTTCGCCGAGTGGGTTTCGAAAGCCTTCGGGGAACACCGAGTCGGGCGAGCCAGCGGACCAGGTGGTTTCCGAGCTTTCGGGCCTCCTGGAGGACGTCTTGGCGGGGCCTTGGGCCGTCTTGGAGGCCTCTGGCAGCCCTTTTGGGCAGTCGAAAGCCATCTTCAGTCCATCTGGGGCCGTCTTGGATGCATCTTGGGGCCATCTTTGATGGCTTTCTTGGCCGTCTTGGAGGCATCTTGGAGGCCATCTTGGCCGTCTTGGAAGCCATCTTGGGCGTCTTGGGGGCCTCTTGGGCCGTCTTGGGGCCTTGTTGGGGCCCTCTTGGGGGCCTCTTGGGCTGTCATGGGGCCATCTTGGAGGCCTCTTGGGCGCTCTTGGGTCGATGTTGGGGGCCGCTTGGGCCGTCCTGGGCCGTCGGAGAGCTGCAAAGGAGCAACATCCTAAATCCTTCAAAGACCGATGGAATATCAATGATTTAAACCCTATTGGGCCTTCCTGGAGGACGTCTTGGAGGGCTCTTGGGCCGTCTTGGAGGCCTCTGGCGGGCCCTTTGGGCAGTCTTAGACCATCTTGAGGCCATCTGGGGCCGTCTTGGGTGCATCTTGGGGCCATCTTGGCCGTCTTGGAGACCACCTCGGGCGTCTTGGAGGCATCTTGGAGGCCATCTTGGGAGTCTTGGGGGCCTCTTGGGCGTCTTGGGGACCTCTTGGGCCGTCTTGGGGCCTTCTTGGGGCCGTCTTGAGAGCCTCTTGGGCCGTCCTGGGGCCGTCTTGGAGGCCTCTTGGGCGCTCTTGGGGCGATGTTGGGGACCTCTTGGGCCGTCTTGGGCCGTCGGAGAGCTGGAAAGGAGAACATGCGGACACCTTCCAAAACCTAAGGAAGATCAATGATGTTGACCCTTTCCGAACATTCCTGGAGGAGCTCTTGGAGGCCTCTTGGGGACTTCTTGGGCAGTCTTCGGCCATCTTAGAGTCATCTTTGGCCGTCTTGGAGGCTTCTTGCACGAACTTGAAGGCATCTTGGACTCTCTTTGGCCGTCTTGGAGGACACTTTGGACCATCTTGGGCCACCTTGGAGGCCATCTTGGGCCAACCTGACCATCTTAGAGGCCATCTTGAAGCGTCTTGGAGTTTTGTTTGTGACGTTGGGGTGGTTTGCGTTGGTTTCGAGACCTTCGGGGCCCCGGCGGGACGGGCCGAAGCCCCAGGGGAGTTCTAAAAAAACCAAAATCGAAAGGATTCAGCACGCAGGGCACCCCTGTGGCAAGCCAACAGGGGGCGTCGGATCGAAGACGCCTACGGCGAATCACCGCCGCCCCCTGCCCCTTTGGTAGCGCCTCTGTGGCCGACAGCTGGGCCAGAGCTTGGCCAAGCTATCGGGCCAGTTGCTCCCCGAGTCGGTTTGGAAAGATTTCGGGGAACGCATGGGAGAGCAAGAAGAGGAGGAGGGGGAGGATGAGGAAAACAAGAGGAGGATGAGGAGGAGGAGGCGGAGGAGGAGGAGGAGGAGTAGGAGGAGGCGGAGGCGGAGGCGGAGGCGGAGGCGGAGGCGGAGGAGGAGGAGGAGGAGGCGGAGGAGGAGGAGGAGGAGGAGGAGGAGGCGGAGGAGGAGGAGGAGGAGGAGGAGAAGGAGGAGGAGGAGGAGGAGGAGCAGGAGGAGGAGGAGGAGACGCCTCTTGGGGCACTCTTGGGGCCTCCTGGGAGCTTCCTGGGAGCCTCTTGGAGTGTTTTGGGGGGCCTTTGGGGACTTATTGGGGTCCTCTTTGGCCCTCTTAGGGCGTTCCTGGCTTGTCTGACGCCATCGGAAGCCGTCTTGGGGGCATGTCTGGGTCATCTTGGGGCCCTCTTGGGGCATATCAGGGGTTCTTAGAGGCCATGTTGGGCTTGTTGGAGGCCTCTTGGGACGTTTTCGGGCCCTCTTGTGGCCGTCTTGTGGGCCTCTTGGGCCGTCATGGGGACATCTTGGAGGCCTCTTGGGCGATCTTGGAGGCCTCTTTGGCCGTCTTGAGCCGTCGGAAGGCCGAAAAGACGCACATGCCAAAATCTGTCAAAACCCGAATGGAAATCAATGCTTTCAGCCTCTTCGTGCCCTCCTGGAAGACCTCCTGGACGCCTTTTGGGCCGTCTTGGAGGCCTCTTGGGGGCCTCTTGGCCCATCTTGGGCTATCTTGAGGCCATCTTAGGCCGTCTTGGGTGCATCTTGGGCCGTCTTGGAGGCATCTTGGGGCCATCTTTAGCCGTCTTGGAGGCCATGCTGGCCGTCTTGGAGGCCTCTTGGGCCCTCTTGGGGCAGTCTTGTGGGCCTCTTGGGTTGTCATGGGGCCATCTTGAAGGCTCCGTGGGCGATCTTGAGGGCCTCTTGGGCCGTCTTGAGCCGTTGGAATGCCGAAAAGAAGCAAATGCCCAAATCCTTCAAACATCTAAGGACAAGTAATGAGTTTGGTCTTGGGCGTCTTGGAGGCATCTTGGAGGCCATCTTGGCCGTCTTGGAGGCATCTTGGAGGTCATCTTGGGCCATCTTGAGCGAAACAATTTGGATTGAGGTCCTGTCCGGGTGGCCCTCGGGACGGGCCGAAGCCCCCGGGGGAGTTCTTCTGGAAAAAGAGCCAAGACCAAAGCCGAAAGGATCTAGCACGCCAGGCACCCCTGCGATGAATCGACAGGGGTCGGCAGATCGAAGACGTCTACGGCGAATCACCGCCGCCCCCTGCCCCTTTGGAAGCGCCTCTGTGGCCGACAGCTGGGCCAGAGCTTGGCCAAGCTATCAGGTCAGTTGTTCCCTGAGTCGGTTTGGAAAGACTTCGGGGAACGCGTGGGGGAGCGAGAAGGGGAAGAGGGGGAGGATGAGGGAAAATAAAGAGGAGGAGGAGGAGAAGGAGGAGGAGGAGGAGGAGGAGGAGGAGGAGGAGGAGGAGGAGGCCTCTTGGGCGCCTCTTGAGGCACTCCTTGGCCTCCTGGGAGCTTCCTGGAAGCCTCTTGGAGGGTTTTGGAGGGCCTTTGGGGGCTTCTTGGGGGCCTTTTTGGTCGTCTTAGGGCATTCCTGGCTTGTCTGGCGCAAGCCGTCTTGGGGGCCTGTCTGGGTCGTCTTGAGGCCCTCTTGGGGCATACCAAATGTTCTTAGAGAGGCCATCTTGGGCGTCTTGGGGGCCTCTAGGGCCGTTTTGGGGCCCTCTTGGGGCCGTTTTGGGGCCCCTTTGGGCCGTCATGAGGCCTCTTGGGCGATCTTGGGGGCCTCTTGCGCCGTCTTGAGCCGTCGGAATGCCGAGAAGAAGCAAATTACAAAATCTTTCAAAACCTCAGGACAATCAATGATTTCAGCCTCTTCGTGCCCTCCTGGAAGACCTCCTGGACGCCTTTTGGGCCGTCTTGGAGGCCTCTTGGGGGCCTCTTGGGCCATCTTGAGGCCAGCTTAGGCCGGCTTGGGTGCATCTTGGGCCGTCTTGGAGGCATCTTGGGGCCATCTTAGCCGTCTTGGAGGCCATGTTGGCCGTCTTGGAGGCCATGTTGGCCGTCTTAGAGGCCTCTTGTGGCCCTCTTGGGGCCGTCTTGTGGGCCTCTTGGGTCGTCATGGGACCATCTTGGAGGCTTTGTGGGCGATCTTGAGGGCCTCTTGGGCCGTCTTGAGCCGTCGGAATGCCGAAAAGAAGCAAATGCCCAAATCCTTCAAACACCGAAGGAAACTTATTCACTGCGTGGCGCTCCCCATATGTGCATCTATTCGCATGGACCTGTCCGCCGTGAGAGTCTAGGCGCAAGAGTTTTCGAAAATGAGCGGGCTTGAGTTGTGACGGTCTGGTCATGAATCTAATTTCGAACGGATTGGAGCGTGAATGAGTAGTACGGGCGCGTCTCTGCGCATGAGCTTGGGGCCTCCTGGGGCCTTCAGAAACCTCCTGGGCCTTCCTGGGGCCTCCAGGAGCCTCTTGGGGCCTCCTGGGGCCTCTTGGGGCTTCGAGTGGCCTCTGAGGCATCCTTGAGCCTCGCGTAGCCTCCCGGAGCCTCCTGGAGCCTCCTGGGACCTCCCAGGGAGGATTCGTGCCCCAGGGGAAGCTCGATCTATAGGAACAGACGTACATAAAACATTGCGGATTTGAGCCGCATGAGAAGGGCAGTCTATAGGAGCACACGTAAAACACCAAGGACTCGTGCCCCAGGGGATGCCCAATCTATAGGAACAGACGTAAAACATTCAGGATTGTATACACAGGAGAAAGACAATCTAACTATATATACACATAAAAATAAACATACGTATAACATCAAGCAATCGTGCTCCAGGCGAGGCACAATCTATAGGAGCATATGTAAAACACATGGGATTGGAGCCACTCCTGTTGCCTTCTGAGGCCTCCTGCTCCTAGGGCCTCTCGGGGCCTCCTGTTGCCTGGGCCTCCTGGCGCTTCCTGTGGCCTCCTGGGGCCTCCTGTGGCTTCCTGAGGGGTCCTGGAGCTTCATGGGGCCTCCTGGAGCCTCTTGGGACATCCTGTGGCCTCTTGAATCTTCCTGTGGCCTCCTGATGCCTCCTGGGACCTCATGGGGCCTCCTGGGGCCTCCTGAAGTCTGTTGGAGCTCCGCTACGTGCTGCAGGCGCGGTGGCGGATTTTCATGGCGGGAAGTGCCGCACTGAAAGACAAACGGTTGGGAGCCCTAAGTCGTGCCCAAATGTATGTAGTTATTGAAATTGCAACGATGCGAATAAACGTGACTGTTGCGTCCTGACATTTGTAATCGCACCAGCGCGCCATCCTGAGACTTCAGCACCGCGGATCAACGTGACCTCTGCGTCCTGTCACTCATACATCTTCCCCAAACAATTTCCAGGATTTCAGCTTACGGACGCTTGAAAAGGCTGTGAGTTGTTCCCAACCATCCTGTGGTGTTGGGTCCTCGTTTTGAAGAGACGGTCCCCGCGTTCCTCCTCCTCCTCCTCCTCCTCCTCCTCCTCCTCCTCCTCCTCCTCCTCCTCCTCCTCCTCCACTTCTTCCTCCTCTTCCTCCTCCTCCTCCTCCTCCTCCCTCTCCTCCTCCCTCCTCCCGTCACCCCCCTCACTTTGGCATACCCCTCACACTTATCGTGGCCCCCTAGGGAGCCCCACCGAAGGCCCCAGTGGCTGCGCTCGCATGACACCACCGCACCCATTTCGGCACACCCCTCACACGTTTCGTGGCCCCATAGGGGGCTCCTCCGAAGGCCCCAGTGGCTGCGCTCGCATGACACCACCGCACAAAATTTCGGCACACCCCTCACACGTTCCGTGCCCACATAGGGAGCTCCACCGAAGGCTCCAGTGGCTGCGCTCGCACGACAACACCGCACCAATTTCGGCACGCCCCTCACACGTTTTGTGGCCCCACAAGGAGCTCCTCCGAAGGCCCCAGTGGCTGCGCTCGCATGACAACACCGCATCCGCTTCGGCACACCCCTCACCCGTTTCGTGGCTCCATGGGGAGTTCCACCGAATGCCCCAGTGGCTGCGCTCGCATGACACCACCGCGCCCATGTTGGCACACCCCTCACACGTTCCGTGGCTTCATAGGGAGCTCCATCGAAGACGATACCAACACCTGCGTTACTCACAAGTGCATATGGTTGTGTCCTTCGTCAGGAAGATTTAAAAGTGAGTGCGCGTGTTTAAGGCGAGAGCGGCACGATCAAAACAGAGTCGCCCTCACTCCCTGAAACTGGTGCAGACTTTCAGGACTAATGCACGCAGAGATAAGGCGAGGGCCTCAGAACGGCCGTCTCTCCATCCTTGAAGCTGCTACAGACTCATACGACGCATGCGCGCGGCGCTGAGGCGACAACCACAGTTTGAGAATGGCCCGCCCTCCATCCTTGGAACTGCTGCAAACTGTTTAAGATGTATCTGCGCGGTGCTAAGGCGAGAGCCACCTTTGTAACACGACCCGCCCTCCATCCGTGAGCCCGTTGCAGACGTAAAGCTTCAGGGCCATACGTGGCGAGGAAATCTCCGGCGAAGCGCCTGGCCCGCCCTGCAGGCACGCGTGGGGATGGGACATGGGAGGCTTGGAGAAGCTGCTGCCTTCCTCCTCCTCCTCCTCCTCCTCCTCCTTATTCTCCTCCTCCTCCTCGTCCTCCTCCTCCTCCTCTTCCCCTCCCCTCCTCCTCCTCTTCCTCCTCCTCCTGTCTCCCCCTCCTCCTCCTCCTCCTCCTCCTCCTCCTGCTGGAGGAGAAGGGATGGAGGAGGCGGAGCAGGACAACGACGAGGACGGGGAGGAGCAGCGTTGTTGAGGCAACCCGTCTCGTCATCCTCTACGGTCGGACCGGAGTATAAGATCGAGGTCGGCTTGGGGTACCTTCGTGTTCTTCGTGCCTGTGGTGTGCTCTTGTGCATCCTGGGGAAAGGGGGTACCCTCTGTGATCCTATGGTTTGGGGTGTTTTGTTCAGCGGAGGGTCTCGTGCTCTTGAAGGTTTTTAGGCCTCTTAGGTGGGGTCCGGGTAGAGGGGGTCGTTGGATCGCGCCGCATCGCCGATGCATCGACCATGCGGCTCGATGTGGAGCCCGTGTTTCCCATCGCTGACGTCGCGAATGCCTCGCCGACGTCGCCGATGCACTGCCGATGAATCGCCGATACATCGGTGATGCATTGGCGATGCGGCACGATCTGTCGACCCCATCTACTCGGACCCCATCCAGCAGGTCTCTAAGGATGTTCTTCTGTCCTTGGTCTGGCTGTACCTCGTGCCTCCCCCGGAGGGGTGAGATCTGTCACTCTGTCGCTGGTGCGGCGTGGGTTCTTGTGGGCAGAAAGCCAGTGCCCAGGCGTCGCGCCTGGTCTCGTGTGGACTCACGAGGGGAGGAGGAGGACGAGGAGGAGGAGGAGGAGGAGGAGCAGGAGGAGGAGGGGGACGAGGAGGAGGAGGAGGAGGAGGAGGAGGAGGAAGAGGAGGGGGATAGGGCGACCTCACCGACCAACTCCTCATCACTGGCCACCCGCAGCGTCACGGAGACAGCCGCTCTTCGCGCTGCGTGCGGCTGGAGGTGCGCAGTCCGACCCCCTGGGACACGTCCTCGCAGACTCTACGAACGACTCGTTCCTACCGCTGGTCTTCACTGGCCACCGTACTATGGCCTGGGACGTTCCTTGGGCTGGCCGTCCCTCTTCTCCTGCGCACACTCTCCGCAGCGCACACTCCGCCCGCAGCCGACCGCGTTCGTGGCGGAGTGTGCCAGCGATGCCTGGACAAGTCAGCGGCTCACATCCAGGCGCCGTGTGCCCACGCGCAGCGCGGGAAGAGCAGACGTCAAGGCTGACGGAAGGGCGGTGGACGAGGCGGAACAGGAGCGGCAGGCGATGGTGGAGTGGGCGGTGGGTCTGACGGATGATGCGGTGGAGGAGAACGAGGTGGAGCAGAAGGAGGATGAGGAGAAGGAGGAGGAGGCGGCACAGGCGAAAGAAGGGGTAAAGGAGGTGGAGGAAGAAGAAGAGGAGGAGGAGGAGGATAATGATCTGGTTTCTGTAGAGCAGGAGGAGCAGGAGGAGGAGGATGAGGAAGAGGAGGACGAGGACGAGGAGGAGGGGCCAGAGAAGGGACCCGAATAAGGACGATCGTGCGAGGAGGTATGCATGCGAAGTCTGCCGTTTGTCAGCTTGCCGTCGATGTGTGCCCCAGTCGTGTGAGCCTGGTATCGGCGTTTCTCACGGGAGTATTGGGCGCAGGGATAGCCAGAGGTTGGTCTGATATTTGTTGATCGGATGCTATATTTCCAGACCGGACGGTCGAAACGCAACCGACTCGGACAGCAGAGCCTCCCAGTCAGCGTGTGGAGGGACGGTTGCGTAGGATGCGTCGGAGCGTCTGGAAACAGTAATAGTGCATGTCAGCCACAATTGTGACACTCTCTTCTTTTTTCCCTGGGGGGATTTCCCCCCCTTCCCTCTCCCCCCATCGAGAGGGGGAGAGACGTCGTCGAGGCGATGGATTCCCCAGGGGGTCAGGAACACCGCCCCCCCGTTGCGGCTGCTCAGCAGTGGAAAAGTCAGATTAGGAGGATGAGGAGGAGGAGGCGGAGGAGGAGGAGGAAGACGAGCAAAGGGAGGAGGAGGAGGAGGAGGAGGAGGAGGGGCAGGAGGAGGAGGAACACGAGGAGGAGGGGGACAAGGAGGAGGAGGAGGAGGAGGACGCATCGGCGGCGCAGCAACATCAATCACAATCAGCCAGGCAGCCACGAAATCAAGAGCCAAGTGCTCAGCCAGCCAGTCAACCAGAAGGCCAGCCACCCATACAATCAGCCAATGAACCAGTCAGACGGCCGAGCAGCGATTCTGGCAGTCAGGCTGCCAGCCAGGCAGCCACAGCCAACCAGCCACAGCCAACCAGCCAGCCAACCAGCCAGCCAGCCAGCCACCCAGCCAACTACACAGCCAACCAAGCGACCAGGGGGGATGAGGTCAGTCAGCCTCAGTGCAGCTAGCTTGCTCATGAGCCTACTCATAGCGTTCCAGAACACTTCTGAACGGCCACTGCGGCACCCGCGACATCCTCTGGACTTTGTCGGCTCTCAGAGATATGTACGACGGCGGCCTGCTTGTATCTGGGTTTATCGTATCTTGCCCACGTCGAAGACGAGAGGAGGGACGTGTACACAGTAGGGAGGTGGAGGAGGGGGATGAGGGGTGGGTGGGTGGAGTAGAAACAATTGAGGACAAGTGAGAGGGAAGGTGGGAATGTGTGAGTGGAGGAGGAAGAGGGGGAAGGACGGTGGAGGCGAATATCCATGGGAGCAGGAGGGAGAGTTGAGGAGGGAGGAAGGCGGTGGACACTGGAGGACAAGGTGGACGAGGGCCAGAGTAGATCCAGCATGCGCCCGCGATGCTTGAGGACGCCCTCCCGCCCCGGGTTCCCTCCCCACGAATTCCTGCAGCTGTCCGTGTTGACCGCGAGAAGGCTCTCTGCGGGTCCGCCATTCAGGCGAGAGCCCAGCTCTGAAATTAACAGTCCGCCATGTATGTATATGTATATATACACATATATATATGTATGTATGTATGTATGTGTGCGTTTGTGTATATCTATATATGTATATACACGCGTGCAGCTGTTGTTGCGCATCTTCTTTTTCCAAGTCCCACAGTTGAAGAGATCTCAGGCGAAGTCACCCTTTCGAATCAGGGAACGCAGTAGACAACATCTGACGGTTATATGATTTGGCGGGGTACCCATGTTGAAAAGGAACCGTCTTTACATCAGTCGAACCTCTAGGAGCTTTCAAGGCGAACTTGTGCAGGACCCATGCGAGAGGCGCATTCGGACAACTACCCGTCCTCCATCCGCTCGGTTGGAGACTTAAGTCAGATGAGCGCAGCGCTCGGGAGAGATCCGCATGGTGAAGGCGACTCGCCCTCCGTCTGCCTACCTGTTGGGAGCATTCAAGGCGAGTAAGCGCGGTGCTAGGGCGATAACTCCATTAAAAACAAACAGCCCGCCTCCCATGCGTGTAATAATTGGACGCTGTTAGTACGCGGCGCTCGGGAGAGAGCTGCGTTTGGAAAACTGCCCGATCTCCGAAACGTGAAAGACTGATTTGTTGAATTTGCGCGGTGGTCAGGCGATAACCACCTTGTGATAGTGATTCGACTTTCAGCCGTATGACAGGTGAGAGATTTTCAGACCAGCGTGCATGGAGCACGGGCTCGAACCACATTTTGAAAACGGCCCGCCCTCCATCAGTGCAGTTGGACGCCGTTAAGACGAATGTGCGCGGCGCCCAGGCGGGAGTCGCATTTTGAATACGACCCGCCCTCCATGCAAAGAAGGGTTCGGATTTCCGTGCTTCAGTGTGATCCAGTGGCCTTCGGCCCAACTTGCCACCTTGCCTGGGTGATGGGCCAGAGGCGTCTTGGATGCATGTCGGAGTCTCTTGGAATGCCTCTCGGGAGTTTCTTGTGGTGCCTCCGTAGTGGATGCAAAACCTCGAAGAAGACTACGGCGAATCACCGCCGCCTCCTGTCTTTTGGAAGCGCCCATGTGGCCGAGCGTTGTGGCAAGAGCTCTGCCAAGCTATCAGGCCATGTGTTCACCCAGCCTTTGTGGAAACCTTTTGGGGAACACTTTGGGGAGCATGGCGGGGAAGATCAGGAGGAGGAGGAGGAGGCGGAGGAGGAGGCATCTTGGGAGCCTCTAGGGGCACTCTTGGGGCCTCCTGCGAGCTTCCTGGGAGCCTATTGGAGGCATCTTCGGGGCCTCCTTGGGCCTCTTGGGGGCCTTTGGGGGCTTCTCGGGGGCCTCTTTGGCCGTTACTGACCTGTCTGGCGCCGTCGGGGGCCGTTTGGGGGGCCTCTCTGGGCCGACTTCGGGTCCTCTTGGGATGCTCCAGGGCCGTCCTGGAGGCCATATTGGGCGTCTTGGAGGCCATCTTAGGCGTCTTGGAGGCTTCTTGAGCCGTCTTGGCGCCCTCTTGGGGCCGTCTTTGGGGCCTCCGGGGCCGTCATAGGGCCATCTTGGAAGCCTCTTAGGCGATATCGGGGTAACCTTGGGGGCCTCTTGGGCCATCTTGGGTCGTCGGGAGAATCGCAGGAGCGCAAAAGCCCAAATCCTTAACAAGTAAAGAATCAGCAATTTTGACCTCTTCGGGTCCTGGGGGACCTCTTGGGAAGCCTCCGGGATCGTCTTGGAGGCCTCTTGGGAACCTCTTGGGCCGTGTTGGGCCATCTTGAGGCTATATTTGGACGTCTTGGATGCATATCGGGCCGTATTGCTGTCTTGGCGGCCATCTTGGTGGTCTTCAAAACTATCTTCAGCCGTCTTTGGCAGTTTTTTGTGAGAATTCCGGGCCTTGTGCGGCCTTTCGGGTGGCAGAAGGGACGTGCCGAAGCCCCAGGGAGAGTTCTATCGAACAATTAACCAGAACCATCCCGTTTAGGGTCTAGCACGCCGGGCACCCCCGTGGCAAGACCACAGGGGGCGGCGGATCGAAGACGCCTTCGGCGAATCACCGCCGCCCCCTGCCCCTTTGGAAGCGCTTCTGTGGCCGACAGCCGGGCCAGAGCTTGGCCAAGCGGGCCAGTTGTTCCCCGAGTCGGTTTGGAAAGACTTCGGGGAACGCATGGGGGAGCAAGAAGAGGAGGAGGGGGAGGATGAGGAAAAAAGAGGAGGAGGGCTCTTAGGCGCCTCTCGGGGCACTCTTGGGGCCTCCTGGGAGCTTCCCGGGGGCCTCTTGGAGGGTTTTGGAGGGCTTTTGGGGCCTCTTTGGCAGTCTTAGGGCGTTCCTGGCTTGTCTGGTGCCGTCGGTCGCCGTCTTGGGGGCCTGTCTGGGTCGTCTCGGGGCCCTCTTGGGGCATATCAGGGGGGCTCTTAGAGGCCATCTTGGGCGTCTTGGAGGCCTCTTGGGCCGTTTTGGGACCCTCTTGGGGCCATCTTGGGGGCCTTTTGGGCCGTCATGGGGCAATCTTGGAGGCCGCTTGGGCGATCTTGGAGGCCTCCTGCGCCGTCTTGAGCCGTCGGAAAGCCGAAAAGGCGCAAATGCCAAAATCCTTCAAAAACCTTAGGAACAGTAATGATGCTGGCCTCTTCGTGCCCTCCTGGAAGACCTCCTGGAGGCCTCTTGGGCCGTCTTGGAGGCCTCTTGGGGGCCTCTTGGGCCGTCTTAGGCCATCTGGAGGGCATCTCAGGCCGTTTTGGTTGCATGTTGGGGAATGTTGGAGGCATCTTGGGGCCGTCTTAGCCGTCTTGGGGGCCAGTTTGGCCGTCTTGGAGGCATCTTGGGCCCTCTTGGGGCCGTCTTCGGGGCCTCTTGGGCCGTCCTGGGGCCAACTTGAAGGCCTCGTGGGCGATCTTTGGGGGCATCTTGGGCCGTCTTGAGCTGTCGGAATGCCGAAAAGAAGCACATTCCAAAATTCTAGAAACACTAATGGAAAATCGCTGATTTTGGCCTCTTCGGGCCCTCCTGGAGGACCTCTTGGAGGCCTCTTGAGCCGTCTTGGAGGCCTTTGGGGGGCCTCTTCGGCCGTCTTACTGCAGGGGCAGAAAACGTTACATTACAGGAAAATCGTTGCGATCATTATTCTTGCGCCATGTAAAGGCGTCAGCGGGGTTGGGCAGGGTTTCGTGATGAGGGTTCTACAATGAGATTCTGAGCAGGAGTTCGGGAACATTTGGGAGTCGGGACGGCTTCTACAGGGGAAACGCACGAGTTGGGGAGGATTCTGGAATTGCGGAGGATTCTCCCACAGGAGAAGGAGAAGTTGGGGAGGATGTTAGAACTGG